TCAATTTTTAAGAAATTAAAGAAATATCAACAGAGCACCTATTTATAAAGACTTAAAGTTTCATTTTTAAAACTAATTGGCCCCTTTCTGTCCTGTTTTCTGCATTATAAGCCTTATAATAATAATATTAATTATTATTATTATTGCTGTTGTTGTTGTTGTTGTTGTTGCTCTTGTTGTTGTTATTATGAGTATGATTATTATTATTATTATATACACTGTTTCTTATATTTTGTTATCATTCATATGTTCTTGTCTATAATTTCTGCATGAAAAATAATTAAATGTTTAAAAATACATTTTAAAAGTGTCTGTTACGGGTTTTTTTTTTCTATTAAAAAAAAAGGTGCCTCCGCAAATGCCTGCCCAAAACACCCCAATAAATACATTTCACAACAACACTGAAAAATGAGCGCCCTGTCCAACTATTGATGAGGTCGTATAGAAGTCATCGATCTTCTGATCGAGTCGCCTGGTTCAATTCAAACGAGTTTACAGTTGATTTTAAAGACGAGAACAATGAATGAAGCGGATTATCGTCAACGTAGCGGCACCGTGAGTCAGCCTTATGAACGAAAGCCGCAGATCAAACCGCATCAGCTGCAGGATGCTGATCTCAACCAAACTACCGGTGAGAAAATCACAGATTTAACGTGAGATGTTTCTCCGGAAGGAAACGGCTTCCTAGCTGCTAGCTCGTTGTACTGGTGGGCGAAATAAACTTTTCACCTACAAACCGGCCTTTTTAAATGATGTAAATCTGCCACAAATCGATGTTAAAACGGCTTAAAAACGGCGGAACACATCGGTGGTCCTGTGTAGTACCCGGGCGTTTTAGACGGGGCACACAACAACAGCGTTAATATTGTAGTTCAGCGTAAGTAAAAGGGCGAAATTTGATTCAATGTGTTTTAATGTCTAATATTTTTACTCATCTTAATAAATATAGATTTTAGTGAGATGGTTTTATGTAGGATAAAGCCAGCTCATTTATATATCCATCCATCCATCCATTGGCTTCCGCTTATCCTTTTCAGGGTCGCGGGGGGGAGTACACCCTGGACAGGTCGCAGGGCTAACACACAGGGACAGACAACCATTTGCACTCACACCTCTGCAGTTTATTTGCTTAAACTGCCCTGTCCTGTTCTTAATAAACACCTATTACTGTACCTACTTTGTAATCAATTTAGTGCTTTTTGGCCACTTAAATTATCTTTATAGAACTGTTTGGTTGTATTTGGTGAAATTTCTGCTTCCCTTTTGGTCAGGTTGCTCCTGAAAACACAAAAAACATAATAAGAAATCATAATAAAAAGTAAAATAGAAAGTCACCTTGGTAAAAACTGATTCCAGTTTGTCCCTTCTGGCTCAAAATGACTTGATATTATTCACCAGAGACAGATTATACCCCAACAAGTCATTTGTTGCAACAGTGGCTCCTATCAAAAGCAGTAAGAGCAGCAAAAAGGTGGAAGATGAAAAAGGGATCTTTATTTTAGACAAAAGAAACAACAAGTTCTTAAGATGAATTTAGATTTTTTTTACTGACATTTAGCTGGTGATAAGTTAGCAGATGATCACATGATTAGGGGCGGTGATGAAGGGGTGTATTTTTTTGTTGACCTCTATTTATTGTAATTGTTTCAAGGGCTTGTTTTGTTTTTGTTACTGTTTGCTGTGTTTTTTAATAACCTGTCTCATACAATAGTCATTATTCTAACCCTTTTTATTCACATTTTAATGACAGATTATTCTTGTTTTTATCTGTTATTTTTTTTTATCTGTGTTTTATATGGTTATTGTGTTGTGATATTTGTAAAATAAGTGCTCTCCAGGTGATGTCTCTGTGTGTTTCAGAGTTTCATGCTGATGTCCAACAGCTGTTGGTGATTAAAGAAGAGGTTCCCCCAGAATGGAGCCCCTCTGATGACCAGTGGTCCCAAGAGCCCCTGCGCATAAAGGAGGAGCGTGAGGAACTGTGCACCACTCAAACAGCAGAACACTTTAAAGGGCTGGAGGATGCTGATACCAGCAGGCTCCCGTTCACTGCTGCTCCTGTGAAGAGTGAAGATGGTGAAGAGAAACCTAATTCTTCAGAGCTTTACTGTCATCAAACGAGTAAACAAATAAAAACTGAGACTGATGGAGATGACTGTGGAGGACCAGAATCAGCCAGAAACCTTGATACACAAAGTACTTTACAACCTAATGAAGTGGAAAATGATTCGGACTCCTCTGAGACTGAACTCAGTAACGATGGTGATGAATGGCAGGGACCTTTGTCAGATTTTAGACCTGAAACTGAAGACAGTGACAATGCTTGGGAGGCAAGCAGGTCACCTGAGTCAGGTGTAAATTGTCATGTGAGATGTGACACTACCGAAAAACCCTTTATCTGCTCTGAGTGTGGAAAACGTTTTCTCCACAGGCAGTCTCTCCACAGACACATGAGAATCCACACTGGAGAGAAACCTTTTTGTTGTGCTGTTTGTGGCGAGAAATTTAGCAGGAAGACACATTTTAAGACGCACATGAGAGTTCACACAGGCGAAAAACCCTTTGATTGTGGTTTTTGTGGTAAAGGGTTCAGCCAGAAGTCAAATTTTAAGGAACACTTACGAGTCCACACAGGAGAGACTCCATTTGGCTGTGATGCTTGCGGGAAAAGATTTAGAGTTAATTTTACTCTTAAAAGACACATGCGAGTCCACACAGGAGAAAAACCGTTTGTTTGTGTTGACTGTGGAAAGACATTCAGTTCCAATACGCACCTTAAGACACACACGAGAGTCCACACGGGAGAGAAACCATTCAGCTGTGGTGTTTGCGGCGAGAGATTTGCACAGCAAGGGGTTCTGAAGAGTCACACACGAGTTCACACAGGAGAGAAACCTTTCGGATGTGGTCTGTGTGGAAAGAGATTTAGACAGCAGAATACTCTCAAGAGACACATGAGCGTCCACACGGGAGAGAAGCCGTTCTCCTGTGGCGTCTGCGGCGAAAGATATACCAGACAGGGAAGTTTGAAGAGACACATGAGTGTACACACAACTGCAGC